CCCAGACGTTAAAGAAAAGATATAATGGGATCTAATGCAGGATCTCAACAATCACGTTTCCTGCCATGCCACACAGACATGGCAGGAGGAGCGATTGTGCCATCAGATCCTATTGCATCATAGTGCCAGTGCAAGTGCAACCTTAGGGAAGCTTGATTTATAGCTGGGGGTGCGCATCATTATCATCTGACCAGGGCTCCTATCTCTGGCAGAACATGGTGTATTCCTGGTCTGTGAACCCCAGTAAGCTAATGGGGTTCCCATGTGCTCCCCTGGCTGGGGGCCCTAATCATCTGACTGGCGCCCCTAGTAGGGGGAATGCATGGTGTGCCCCCCAGCTGAGAACTCACAGGGGTTTGGTCCCCAGCTGGAAGCCCGGAGCAGCTGAGGGGCCTCCCAGACTCTGGTGCACAGGGGAATCTTGAAAGAGGCTCTAGAGTCTGGGAACTGGCCACAGGTTCAATTAAAGGCATGATAAGAACCAGCCACAAAGTTATTATACATATTTTGTGTAATAACTTTGTGGCTTATTCTTCATTTTATGACAACATTGACTGATTGAATGGATGATAGGTCAGTACTTGAGACATGATTAAGCAGTTAATCATGTCTTCAGTGTAACATCTGTCAGGGGCCTTAGACTAACCAAAGCAGATATATATATATTTATATATAGTACAAGGTTTCATAGGCTGAAGCTCAAGAGGATGGAATACCTAAGGCAACAGTGCAGCAGTTACTGAGAACCCTAGCTGTGCAGCTAAGAAGCTGGAATCTGCAAAGGAGTAAAGAAACCAGAACAAGCTGGGGACTCTGCATAAATTAACACCAACTCAGTCAGCATCAACATGTGCATTAAAATATAATGCACTCTTACTGTTTTCCCTAAGAGAAAGTATGATGCAGAAAAATTCATTCCTGACCAGGATCGCAAAAACTTGTGGAATCCAAACTATACAGAGTTCTTCTTTGACAGAGACTTCCTTAGAGTCAGGAAAGGGGGATGAAATCACACAGGTACAACCTTCCTCCCCTTCAAGCATCCTTTAAGACATCTGAGTGATTTTCTGATCCTTCTGTCCACTAGATGGCTGGCAATTTTAGTTGACTGGTTTTCTGATTATGTACCTTCTCAATAGCTAGGTTGTTGGCCCTTAATTCTTAAGCATTTGGTAAATGCCCATTGTTTTTCCTGCATTTCTAATAAAGCCAATGCTAACACACTTGTGTTTTGTTTGTACACCAGCATCACAGGGTGCAAACAGCAATGTGCAGAGGTCATTTGTTAACTATTTACTGTTATACACCAGCAAAAAGAATTACAAAAAACTAATTAATTGTTCTAATTGTTAAGCTGACCTTTTTGTTCTCCAAAAGAAACATAACTATCATACTCAACTTCTTTGCAGGGCTGACTTATGATAACTGCTCCTGACAGTCAGGCTGTAATTGTATTGTGACACCTGATATTCAATTGGTCCTTGTGGAACTAATCGTTTTTAAATGACAAAATTCATATTAGAAAATCCCACAATTAAATTACTGGGAAACTGGAAATGCAGGCAAGACACTGGGGTACTTAAAATGTTGTCCAAGTTACTGGGAACTCAAAAGGTGCCAAGGCTGTATTTGTGAAAACCACAGGGAAGATAAGAATCACAGTGATGTTAGGTGTTCTGGTAGATGGTATAAAATGATCTCCTTGTGTTTTGTTCCAGAGGAAAGTTTTTTTTAAGGAGCAGTTGCTACTTCATATCCAGTAAAAACCTGTTTTTTCTTGCAATCAAAACTGAAAATGTGAGGTTGACTTGTATGAAGGGTCAGCTTATAATTAGAATAAAGTAGACAGTGACATAATTTAATGTTTTTTTTACGGAACTGTAGATGTGATATCAAAATTAGGATTGAAAAAGTAATATCAAAATAAAAAATTAAGACAAAACTGATCCAACAATTTTGTATCCAAAATGTTGGATCCAAAACTGAATCTTGACTTCTCAGATTAGGGAATGTTGGTGCACAGTTTTATTTAAAACTACCTCCTTACCGATTAGACAGAGGGGGGTGCAGAGACAGGCAGTGGGAAATACAATTTGTTGGAGGTTACCTGTTTCAAAGCGTTGTTTTGTTTTCAGTTGCTGACACAGAAATGTCATTATAATGTCTCATTGTCACTGCTGATGAACCTCCAATGGCAACAAAAAGTGTATCCATTCATCAGATACAAGATCTCCATCACAAAATCTTGAATCTGAAGATGGAGCTGGATTCCAGAATTTAGCTTGGGCTCACTTCTTGGAATAGGTGGTGTTTTCCATAGAACAGAACACTCTTCATAAATTATGCCTAATCCCTAAAACATGGATATGTGCTTTACACAAATAATCATATGACACTTTTACCTCCCCCTGCTCCCACAATAGGATCCAGTTGTCATAATTATTTGATTCATTCTTCTGTCTCCACTTGTTTTGGCCAGAAAAAAGCATTTCTGTACAACTAAACTCTCAGAAAATATCTGCATGTTAGGAAAATTCTATTTCAGATTTTTTAAAAAAGAATCTTATCTTTTAGTTTTATTCCACTGCTGCAGCCAAACTGCTGGATGCACTTTCAAGTGGCAAAGAAAACTATGAAATTGCACACTGGCTGACACACTTGATTCTAAACATATACTAATGCAAATAAGTATGACTATAATCAGAATTATGATCACAGTTGATGCTGTCTGAAATCTCAATATCCAAATTTAACTAATTCAGGAACACAGTACAAGCAGCTACAGCACCCAATAACTCTATAGGAAGGGTGAAAGGATGCCTTTTTCTTAAATCTCAGTATAAATTAGGCTCACTTGTAATTTTTAAAACATTTTAAGGCTGGGAGGCCAAAATTAAAATCAGCCTACTTGTGCTTATGAACATAAGCAAGGTTGTGAAAGTAAAAAGTTACAAAACTCACTTTATTCTCTGCATACGTTAATGCAGCATGGAACAGGCATGCATGGTTAGATGTGCCATTGCCTACACATGTCTGTGTGCCTGTGACTCTGCACAAAAATAAATAAATAAATCGAGCACTATTTTGTTATTATCTACACCAATTAAACCAAGTGAAAGCTTTAATTTGCTTCTGAAGAATACTGGTGGGAAACATTAGTAACATGTAAAAAACTAGTGTTCTCATGGAATCTCATTTAGGGCTTCATTCACATTGGCACAAATTAGAAACAAATCCATTTAAGTTAATACAGCTGCCCCAGCATAAACCAGTAGGGTTGTGCAAAGCTTTGGTCCCTGATTCAATTCGGCAGAGATTTGGCCCAATTTGATGGTTGAATCTCTGAATCTGAATCAAATCAGAGGACTTCCGGTCCACTTCTGGGTCCACTGGAGAGCGCGTGGGGAGCCCCCCTCGCAAGCCCCCAGCTCAGTGACTAGTATCTCTTGGGTTTGGGGAGCCCACCTGGGGTCCCCCTGTGGCCAGTCACCAAGCCAGCAGTTGACCAGAAGTACTTCCAGTCCACTTCTGGGTTCACTGCTGAGCACACTGGGGCCCCTTCTGTGCTCCTGTGGGATGCTTCATCTGCCCCAACATCATGCTAGTACCTCGAGGTATGTAGAAAAAATATTTAAAGCTGCGTGTATGTCCAAATTGCTGATTCTCTGAATCAGCATTGAATCTTCAGATTTGGATTCGGCCATATCGAATCAGGGACAGTGATCTGAATCAAAGAATCAAATCACTGTCCCCAATTTGGGCTGAATCTGAATTGAATAGGGCCTGCTTTGCAGAACCCTATAAACCAGGCATAAGGAAAATCAGGGTCTTAGCAACAAGTGTGTACAAGCTGGTAGACAGAATTTAAAAGAAAGGAAACAATTTCTTCAGTAGTAGCTGCTGAACAATGCATTGAAGATGGGTGTGAAAAAGGTTTACCTTGTGAAGCTGGGAGGTGGTGGAATGCTGCCCGGAGGAGCGAAGCCAGCAAAAGTGATACAGTTCAAAGAGAAAAAAAGCAGACCAGCCAGAGGGAGCCAGGAATGGCTCCTGCGTCAGCTTGGATGTGCTTTGTACAGGCATGCTGGGGCTGATTGGCCAGCTGGATGCCTGGAACTGGGCTAAAAAGCCCGGCAGAACACCAACCTGGGGGACTGGAAATGGAGCCCCCAGCGCAGCAGGGAGGGCGAGAGCCCACAGGAAATCCACAAGGGATGCCCTGGTGGGCACCCCAGGAAGGGGTCGCCCCAGGACTTCATAGGCAGCCTAAATCAGAGGCACCGTCCATGGAGCCACTGTGGTCAGCCTCGAGCTCTGACAAAGACTGGAGCCTGGTAGAATGCAGAAGCACAGCAGGTCAGCCGCAGCTGACAGACAACCAAATCCAACCCCAGAAGAGGAGCAAGGCACCAGAGAACAGGGCGGTGCCAAGCACGGACGCTACATAGATGAAGAAAGAGGGCCACCAGAGACGCCCATGAGGAAAGGGAGTGTCACTATAGCCATCAGACCTGGTGGACTTGAGCGTGGCAAAAACCTGGAACACCATCCTCAATGACGAATGGTTCCATCACGGTTGGCAGTAGGCGGGGTGTAGGGGAGGTGGAGCCCCACGAAAGAGCCGCAAAGGGAGTCACCCGGGGGAAGCATCAGGGGAGGCTGGACCAGAACATTGTCCTCCCAACTGAAATAAACTAATAAAAGACGTGGCAGGCGAGGCTCCTGGTGCATCACCCCAAAGTCACCTGGTGACTGGCCCATTTGTCCCGAAGAAGCCACAGCAAGGCTCGAGTGGAAGGCGCTTGCACAACGTCCAGTAAAGAGACATAGGAGATTATAATGGGCATGAAAAGAAGGTTGAAAAACTCTTGGGAAGTCAGTACTACAATGAAATAGAACATTTTTATCTATAAAGAAAATCAACTGTGCCTTGAGATTCATCACTTCTACATTATGTATCTTCTCCACTGACAATTTTAACATAAATACCTAAGACTTACCTGTTACCTGCTTTCTTAGCTTTTCAATTTCTTCTTTTAAGCTTTTAATTTCTAGATCTTTGCTTGCTGTTATTGGACCATCCACAGTTGAATACTGTAGAGCCTGGACTGTCTGTGTTGACTCTAAGAACAAACAACAAGACCATGAGATAATATACAATTTTCTGACAGCTTAAGGAGTCATGAAGTGATACTATTGATAAGTGAAGAGTTGCAGAGAACTGTGTCTACTGAGACACATTAAGCAAACACATTGGGAGTCAAGATATTCAACACTGCTGCCTGAGTTGTGGCTACAAAATGTGTCTGTGTAAGCATATGCAAGCAGGAAACCAGAACAAAAATAAAGAAACAAGGGTTCCTTCAGAAAATCCAAACAATCCATATATTTGAAAGCCTGAAAAGATCTTAAGAAGAAAAAAAAAAATAAGAGCTTCACTTTTCCAAAAGAAGAAAGAGCAATATTCTGTATCTTGTGTTCACACCAATGAGCACTGGTTTGTAGGGTTCTTTGGTAATTTTGGTTTAACAGCTTTCTCCAGTTGTTCATAAACTTTGATATGGCCCAATACTGTGAGTAGCCCCCTGACATAAAAGAGATTACTTTCATAAAACCTCAGTGTGCTCAGCTCTGATGAAGACTGCCTTGCATTTGAAAGCTTGTCTAAATTTATCCCAACCATGCAGTTAGTCCAATAAAAGATATAACCCGCAACAATCCTGGCCTCAGATAATTCCCAGACAGTCATGGCTACGATTTCAATCCAACACTATCATTACCCTCATACAAAGATAATAATGTGCACAAAGTTTTTCTAGGATTGAAATTGAATCCTACAATGTCCACTTGCTAAGTGTGAACACTTATTCAGCAGGAGCCAAATGTACAAATCTATATTTCCCCCCCCCCCATATTTTACAACTGTAGTCTTTACACTCAATATAATATCATTGCTTTGGCAAATACAGCCCCTTTTAATAAGTGGCATAAGGGGGACAATGGAGAATAAAAATAAAATATTTCATTTATCAATAGACATCATAAAGTGGATTATGTTTCCAATAAATTTCCAATATGAAACATTTCAGGGAATATATTATTATTTTTTCCCTATAGTATTAAACACAATTCACAAAACTGCACTCTCATCCATCTAAAAAGTAATAAAATAATTCTTTTAATTTCTTTACCTTGTAGTTTTCTACTAAGTTCAAGTTTTTCTTGTTCTAGTCGCCTTATTCTCCTCTCATAGGCTTCTGTTGCTAGGCTGTCCTCCAAGGTCCTCTGAATATTGGCATCAAGATCCATAGAGGGTGGTCCAGCTGAAAGTCTTAGACAACTGCGGTCTGAGAGCACACTGAAAAATATTTTTTTAATACAAGTAAAAAAGTAGAAAAATTAAAAAACAATTGACTAGACTGGTAAACAATTGTTTTAAATGTTAATTACTGTAAAAATAAACTCTCACAATGGTTACTGTAGCAACTTAAATAGTAAAGCAATACAACAGATCTTCTAAATATAATTTTTAATTTACATACAAGTAAAAAATTCTTCATTAATGATAAGTACTAAAGATTGTCTAAAATTTGTCATTAAAACCACAATCATGTTCTGAAGCGTTAACAATCATAAGCTCTAAAATAATGTTAACAAATCTGAGTGAATTAATTTTAGACAATATTTGCCAAATATTACTTTGAAGGGCAGAAGCACAATATCAATTTTTTAGTATTAGTAATAAACAAAAGTGTGTCTGTGTTTTGGTTTTAGCTTCAACATCCAACTTCTACTGGATGTCTATATTAATTTTTCATATGTAATGTGTGTTCATCATTATATTATACTTAGAAACGTCAGGATTTGTAATTGATGCATTTCCAGATATTTTTGCTTCACGCACTTGATCTTGGAGGCTCTTGACCTAGCAGTAAGCATATTAGAGCCCCTCAAGACTGACTTCAAATCCTAGGCGAACATTGCCTAGGGCTGCTTTACCAAATGCAGCAACATTCAGTTCAGGCTTTTGCAATAGCATGGTGCTTTGTAAAGGTGTATTTAGGAGTTTCAGGTGTCTGCCTTGTAGATGTCAGGTACAGAGATTTTCTTGTAGAATACACTGAAGTAGCTAGTGCTCAGGTAGAATGAGTGCTGTCCATGATTACTGTTGGCAGATCTACTTTAGAGGCCTCAGAAAGCAGTGTCAACTGGACAGCCTCTAGGCTGAAACTGCTGTACCTTTGGATCTTTCAGTCAAGGACATGAAAGCTTTGTCCTGTGACAATAAGAAAGACAAAACTGTTTGTATCAGTCAAATGTAGCGATGCCCCAACTCTCAAATGGCTGTGAAAAGATCTTTGTAGGGTCTTTAAAGGCCTCATTAACTCAGAAAGATTGTTGCAACATTTCTACCAGTCTGAGAGAAAACTCCTCCAAAGAGATTTGCAGCACTTGGGAAATATATCTCATAATGGTCACAAACACCTCTGAAGTTGTCCATCTAAGGTGCTGAATGACAGCTGCATTAGGGGAGGAAGAGGAGAATGGGGTTGTGTCACTTTCTGATGAGAAGCCCAAGGCTAGAAGAGTCACAAATGGAAGGGCAGGAAATATTCTTAAAGCAGGTGGCTAGAAACCAGGATATCCTTTCAAAAGAGTACCATATTTTTATACAGCTTGAGTGGGTGGAATCCTGATTGTCTCTGGAATTGAAATAAGAATCCAACGAAGAAATGAAGGACCCAAAACTGGGACAGTTCCCTAAATGGGACCACAGCCAGTGGATGAATGGAGAACAGAGGAGATTCTGGCTCTGGCTGCCAAGTTGTGTGGAGACATGAAGTAGAGGCGGTGAAGATGTCAATACTGCTGGATAAGATAGGAAGCTTGAAGTGATTGAGGCTAAGTCATGATAAGTGTGAAATGGAGTTTCACAATGTTGGAACCAAAGCAATAGATCTGCCATGAATGGGCAGTGGCCACCTGTCCGTGTTTTCTTGGTACAGCTGGAGTGATTTCTATGGAATTGTAATGCTGTATCAAAGTATCAATGCCAGAACGATGTTGAATTTCATTAGGATCCATACAGGGCCATTAAATCTTGGAATGGGAGGTATGAAAAGATGATGGTCTATTCAAGAGCCATGGGACAGATACCTCCTTCTGGAGCAATACGTAGGTCTGCACACAAAAGAGGCTTTTCAGGTGTGGAAAAGGAAGACTGTCTCATTGACAGGGAAGTGGCAACCTTAAAGAGTCTGTACCCACCAGATTTGTGTGATCTGGATCGCTAGCCAACACTGTGGACTTACCCAGAATGAAGCCTGGTCTTGTGCTCCTTCTTACAGTGGCAAGTGAAAGATTTCCAAATGGAGCACTTTCTAGGGATGCAAGGGTCAGCTGAACCATAGAGATTCTTAACATGCAGATCTGCAGCACTGCAGTGTGGACAGAGTTTAAATCCTGGATATCTAGGGAATACATGATTTTTGGCAAGAAAGAAAAAAATTCTGGGAGAAAAAGAATTACAAAACAGCGTTGATGGGAAGAAGAGAATGAATTACAGAGGTTAGCTCAGCTGGTTAGAGCCTGGTACTAATAACACCAAGGTTGCAGGTTCAATCCCAGATTGAACTAGATAATCTCTTGAGGTCCTTTCCACCCTTACGTATCTATGGTTAAAGTGTCAAATGGCACAGGCAGGAAGACCTAAGGTCTTACTGAAAAGGACAACAGAGACCTAAGGAATACAACCAAACTATAAAGCAAGGAAGAAATTAAATCTTGAGGTGGATACAAAAGTAAGATAAAAATGAGAGCATAAGGGGTTTCAGAGGGAGATACAGAGGTATCTCAAACCAAGGCAATTGAGAGAAAAAGTGTAGTAGGAAGTGCACACTGCCATTCATGCCCTTGGTGTGGAGCACAAGGAGATGCAGGATGTGTATGCGTAATATGGCTTCTGTTATGGCAAAAGCCTCTAAATTCAAAATCTTAAGGAGTATTTGTGCCCACTGTGGAAATTAGGGCTGTGGAAGCTTTGGTAGCTGATTCGAGTCAGAGGAGATTCAGCCTCATTTGGCGATTAAATCTCCAAATCCGAACTGAATCAGTAGATGAGTTAAAAGGTCTGAATCGAATCAGAAGTCTCCGAATTGATTCAGAAAAGATTCGGTGCTGCTTTGGAGATTCGGCCATACACTAAACAAGCAGCAGTCCTCACCATGCATGGTATGGATTGCTGCCCGTTTAGTCTATGGCTTAATTTTCAGATCTGATTCAGCCAAATCAAATTGGGACAGTGATTCAAATCACCTAATAGAATCACTGTCCCTTCAAACTGGCCAAATCCAAATCCGAAGTGAATACTTGACGCTTCGCACAGGCCTAGTGGAAATATGCATATGAAACAGCACTTGAAGGAGAACTATATGAAAGAAATACAAGAATTCTGATTCTGTAAACATCTATGTAACACCTCAAATTTACACTTGTGGGTAGTTCCTTTGAAGCCAACTGGATTTCTCATGCAATCAACATTCAGCACAATCATGTTTGCAGAGTCACGGCCTTGACTTTTCTGCACTTTCAGATTGTCTTTGTAGGTAAATGCCGACTGCTGGTAAACCTACAACTTGCATGAATTAATTGCCATGCTCAGCTCAGCAGTAGCTAGTATCATATACTAGCAGTGAATTAAGCCCTGAAAATCTCCATGTTCAATCTCCTTCCAAGGACTCATTTCTTGTAGGGAAAATACAAACTTCAGCCCAAATAAGTTGAATGGCTTCTCCATCCTATTAATATTTAAGAGGTATGAAACCATGTAGGAAAAATAACTTAGAATATTTTTTTCAATTCTCTGGGTCTCCCAATAAACCTTATTTTATTTGTGTCTTTTAAAATAAAATTCATTTATTGGCCAAGAGCTAGCACAGGGTCTCAAAATAAGACTTAACTGGGATACAAGTTTTATGCTGGTTCTGTGCAGAGGAGTAAATTGTACCCTAGACCAAAGGTTTTCAACCTTCTTGGATCAGTGTTGGCAGCCAAATGTGGGGGGTGGGAGGAGGGGTGGTGCGCAGCTGAACATGGAGCAGCGGCAGCTGCTGCGTGCAAACTTCCCCTGCCCCCCGCATCTGGCTGGCACCTGTGCAGCAGTATGGGATGGTGCTTGGCAGTGCTCTGTCCCCACCTGCCTGTATGTACCCCATAGGGCCTTCTCAAGTACCCCTGGGGGCACGCGCACCTCCGACTGACAACCCCCCTGCCTTTAACAGTTGGATCCTTGGGGCAGGGGCTGATTTTAGCTGCTTCCTAAAGAACACCAAACACATAAGAAATAATGTGCTTCATAAACCAATTTCCCCAAAAGCTGAGTACAGTTGGTTTTCCCTTTTTTTTCTATAGTTTGTCTATACTTGTGGCACACAATCGATAGAAGAGTATTAGATACATATATGTGCCTTACTTCGATAATTGAAGAACTCCTACTTACCAGCTACTTGTATAAGTGAAACCCACAAAAGGTAAATGATGACCAGAAAATGCAGTGTGTGATGGAGGAGGCATCGTTTCCTAGAAGATAAAGGAAGACTTAGCTAAGTTAGATTCTACTCGTTTTGGAAACGTATTACTGGATTTTAATCAGTCATTAAAGATGAATACTTCCATTTTATTAACCAAATCCATAATGATCTTTATCTAAAGTCTACATATGAAACAGCAGCCTGCAAATTTGGCTTTAAATTAAAAAAGATAAAAGAACTCGTCAGAAAAGAGATTCTTTTAAATCAAAATATATATAATTAAAAGTAGTAGGTTATTATGCAAGAGGCAAGGATTTTGTGTGGGTAATTTCTTTGACTGGACCAACTGCATATTTGGGAGATCTTAAGATAAGTTTTTTGGCATCACACACACTTCCTCAGGTCACCTCAGGCTACCCTGTAACCTAAAGCTTGTCTAAGATCTCTTTCAACTATGGAGCTGGTTCAATAAAAGATACCACTCCAAGAAGTCCTTGCCTCTTGCATATTTACTGGACTGTCATGCCTACAACACCATTCCAACAATATCAAATAATTATGAAAATTAAAAGCTGACTCCTCCTCTTTTTCCCCAAACAACTTCCAAGTTTATCTTAGTGCAAAAAGAAACATCTTGCATCTCTCCTTTAATTCCTGCAACTCTTGAGTCAAAATGCTTTCCTCCCTGTGGAGTGTGTGAGCCCATCTCTTCTGGTGACTCTGTAGTGAGAATGACACGCAGAGAACTTGCTAGTAAGAATGACACAGGAGGACTGAGGCACCCTCCTTTACAGGACTCATATTTCCTGCCAAGCTGGAAAGCACAACTAAAGTTCAAGACTTGAACACTGACCCAAGTAGATGGAGAGTAGCATGTAGGCTAAATTTTTTGGCATCTGTTGATAGCCTCTTCAAGAAGATTTATGCACATGTACTCTAGATTCCTTCTAGCTGCTTTTTATGCAGTTGCATCATTTCAGACCAGAAAAGCTAATTAAGAAAAACGCTGCATTGAAAGTGCTAAAATAGCCTGAAATTTAAGAACAGGTAATAAATTGAACTTTCTCTGAATGAACAAAAGAGGCAAGATTCTAAACTGAGGCAAGAACCAAAGCAAGGAATCAAGAAAGTGTTTGAATCCTTGCATTCCATCTCATCCTTTCACATTCTCACTTGGAAATATTTATACTCAGATAATAAACAAACTGTGAAAATGACATTAGATGATCAAAAATGACATTCTTCCAAATTAAATTGACTATCAAAATTTAGAAAAGCAATGTTTAACTGGAGACAATCTTTAGGCAGGCAAAGACAAGTTTGGTAAATGACCAGGGAGCACATCAGATACTTGGAAAATTGAAATTCTGATGTCACTGGGCATTTCTAAATTTCATAATGTTTAAATCTGAATAGTCTCTATTTACTAGCACAGAACTTCTCCATAGGAACAACTAAGAACATAGGACTGGAAGGGGCCTGATTGTCCTTTGCTAATGCCCTGCCATTGCAATGATAAAGAATATCTGGTTAATACATACTCAAGAGGATACTAGGAAGAGGACCATGTCCCATGCTAGAGGAAGGTAAACCTCCTCTCACAGTCCTTGCCAATCTGACCTAGGGAAAAAAATTCCTTCTTGACCCCAAATTTAGCAATTGGTATGACCCTGAGGAAAAAAAGCAGGAGCCTCCATCCAAGAGCCTCTGTTTTCTAAGAACTGCCAGCAGCACCAGTGAAGGCCAGGACTATCCCTTGCCGCCCGCCTTGGCTGTAGCCAATGTCCAGTGCTTCAAAGGAATACCAGCTCCCCTCTTCCTCTTTTTCCCCCCACCTCCCCCAGTAAAAGAACCACCTAAACCAGTAGCATTTGTGGAGGACCAGGGGAATTTCTTCCTGGTTCTTAGAGGGGACAATTAAAAATCCTGAAACATGGGATTGCCAAGCACCTATAACACAGCAGGAGTTACCTGTATAACCCAACACAAGGGTTGCAAATACTCAGTTCCATGCATCATACATACTAACTCTTGACAGTTCTCACCTGATGCTGGGAAGCAATATACAATAGAAATATCCAATTTCACAACAGCAGGGAGGTACTGGGCTTAATACTGAGGTACTAAGGTACTCACACTGATGAAATGCCATGCAAAACGTCAGTGAAAACAAACTATGTAAAATAGCTGAAAATAGTTCGGATTAAAAAAAATCCTTTTATACTTAATTATCTAAAGCGGGGGTGGGGGAGTGGGGAGAGAAGTGGGGCAGCCTTTTTGGCAGGTGTGCCACATATTAGCCCCACACCTTCCCCAACTGCCACTAGAGACCTCTTCCCCTGCCCAATCTGCTAATCAGGTTTCTGCTCTGTACTCACTGTCTGATGTGCTGCTCAGCTTTCTACTCCCTGCTGAATCTGATGCTCTGTTTCTACTCCCTGCCCTATCTGTCACTGTGCTGTCCCTCCCCTCCCTAATCTGTTGTGTGCCACACACAGAGGTTGCCCATGCCACTTGTGGCATCCGTGCCCCACCCCCCGCAGCCATCCTGGATCTAAAGTATTAAGCACACTGTTCAGAATTTCTTCAGTATCACATTAATATTATTGTTATTGCAATCTCATAGTCATCCCTTTTAAAAACAATGTGAATTTAGTATAAAAAAAATCTAAGCAGAATTATCCCATTTTCCCAGAGTCAAACACTTCAGGCATTGCCCCCAGGTCCTGCACTGAGATACATCAGCACGGACTCCTGTAGAGTCCCACTCAGGTCACTGGGTCTCCACAGGAGTGCAGGGATCCACACTAACGGATCGCATTGCATGAATGGTGACTTTATTTGTTTCTACTTCCTCAAACAAAACAGAAATTTAAACATGATACTGTTTCAAACCAGAGACTGAGCTGGGGGTGGGGAAGGGAAAGAGGGAAACAGCAGTTAAAGTAAGCCATCAAAAACACTCTAAAGTAAAAAATTACATAAAGGTGAAAGGATACCTATCTACAGATATGTAGCTACAAAGTAACAAATCCAGTTTTAATAATTCTTCAAGATTTTTGATTCTTTGCTGACTGTTGTGCTGAAATGTGTGTGAAATCAACCTATAATTGAATCAGCAATCCTATATGTTTAATTAATCTATTGCACACAAAACAGCTATATTAAAATATTGTCACTACGCCTGTATGTAAAGTTAGCTGGGAAATACTAGAATGAAGGTTGCCTTTATTTTGTACTATAATGGTTATGCAGTAGTAGATAACCTTTAAATACAATTACATGAAGAACCGCCATCCTCCAATCAACTACATATCCAACAAACCACCCACAGTCACTATGGACAGAAGTAATTTACCCTTTTCAACAGGAGAGGGGCAGTTGCCACTCAGGAGAGCTGTTGCCCTCCAAATGTTACCGCTGCATACTCCCTTGCACAGCGATTCTCAACGGGGGTGCTGTGAGATCCTTTTAAGGGTGCCAGAGGGAGCCACACAATATTAGCACTGGTAGGCATGCAAACAAGGTTCACAAGATAAACCCAGAGACATCAAATAGGAATTCATAATGTTGAAAACATTCTGACCTGTGGTGGATTTCCTGAGTTTTTTGCAATACAAGAATTACTCAAATTACTTCTCTGTAGTCAAAAAATGAGTGAAAAGTAAGAGCCAGCATTTTCTGAGGGGTTCCCGGAGCTGAACACAGGGTGCCTCAAGTCTAAAAAGTTTGAGAACTGCTGCCTTAGCAATACAAACCAGCAAAATCACTTTAAAATTAAACCTCAGTAAAGCAGGCTTTAAGTTGCAACAGTTTTGCTACACTTGTGCCACTATAGGAGCAGGCAGAGGGTAACAGGTACTTTATCCTGTTACAGATGGATCGGGTTGTCATAACCACACAGGGATCAGTTACAATTAGAGTGGTGGCTTGGTGTTCTACTGTAGATAATCATTTATGGTTTTTGACACAGGAAACCTGCCTCATTTAGTGTGCAAACAGGACCCGTATCATTCAATGACATAACTATTCAGTATTTTCTTTAATCCTCAGCACTAAGGGAAGTCCCAAACCTCATTTATTTAAATCCTGCATGGAGTAAATAAAAACAAACAAACAAAAAACCCCTTCATAAACTTTTCTGTGGTGCTTACTATGGTCTCTGAACAAGTATGGTAACTAATGGTATCTGAACAACTCACAGCTGTTAATTCATTTTCTCACAACACCGCTGTGAGGCAGGAGGTATTAGCGCCCCCAGTTTGCAGATGGGAAATTGTGATGCAAAGGCCAATATTTGCAACAAAAGTGTAAAGTGTCCACTTACTTTGGGTGCGTGGAGCCAAGTTTTTCAGAGGTCCTGAGAATGCACTGATCCTACTGGTTTCAAAAGTTGCTGTACAGGCTCAGCAATTCTGAAAAATCAGACCCCTGGTGTTTCAAGTTAGGCATCTAGAAAATGAAGTCTAAACAATAATGGTGCGATCCAGTTTGAATTTGGAAGTACATATCTTTGACCTCCCAGGCCATATGCAGACATGCAAAGGCATGAGTTTGTAGCGGCCCAAAAAGTAGCAGTGCAAATTTGTGTCGCTTTGTGCCTCAGCACATGCCTTTGCATGTGCACTTTGTTGTGGAACACATTGTCCTGCTTTGGGCAAACTTCCCTTGCCCAGCTCCTCCTGGCTTCTGGCACACTGGGGCACAAATGAAATAGTAGAGATGCTCTGGCTGGCAGCCAAAATGTCTTGCTGGAGGACCAAGCCTTCACCTGTTCCAGTGCACACTATTTTCCTGTGTTCTGAGACACTTTTTTTTTTGCTACCAGGAAATCCTAAGCCCCTACCTACATTCCAAAATTCCTGTTCAAAACCATAGAAGTATTAAAGCTACTCAAATAAACACCTAGAAAACATTTCAGTCAAATAAACACCTAGAAAAAATTTCAGTCATAAGGTTTACAGACTGGCAAAATTTTAAACAATTATGAATAGAGGGCAATAATGGGGAAAGTCATGCAACCCTGCATATAAACATCAGTGGCGTTCCCCCAGCAACAGTTTTTATGTGGCATACCACTTTCTGTCTATAGGGTGCTGCACTTATACAGCCATTATTTCTCCTGTATGGATTTTAAGGGCCTGTTCCTGCAAACAGTAAACTATATTTGTAATTTGCCTCACATGAGGATTTGCTGAGCATTCTCTAGAACCCAAGCCAAATTCATATTATTAAGTCTTTGCAAGATCAGGCTCCAAATAATCAACAGTTTTTCATTCTTTGGAAAAACAGAGATGCCTACCTACTAATGGTATTAGAGAGTATATTGCAGCATGACTAAAGTAATCTGGAATTAAAATGTCAATTTTTGAATGAGCATAAAGGAAATGAGGAATCGAAGGAAAAAAGATTTATCATTCATATACTTACAGAGTTTTTTAAGCAATCATCATCCACATCAAAGTTGGATGTATCAGTTGGGCTGCTGACTTCAGGGATGTAAGGTGCTTCACAGTTCCGAATGTTATCCCAGTCAATCCCGGCAAAAAATGGATGGTTCTTAAAGTCTTCAATCCCATTTTGCCCAAGTCGATGCTCCCTACTGCAAATGAGCCTTCGGATGAGGTCCTTTGCATTTTCTGAGACATCTGTTACTTGTGCAGGAAACTGAAATCTCTCCTTGAAGAATAAAACATGGAAGGATAGTTTATTATCAAGAAAAAGCCAGAAAAGTCAGGTTCCTTAGTGAACATTTCTGTAAAGAAATAGAGCTTTGTAAATACCCAGGCTCTTATGGTTAAATGAACATAATAAAGTTTCTAGGAAAAAGACTTACCCAGATGACCAAAAATACTGAAAATGTTATAACTGTCCTCTGCTTTTTGTTTATTTAGAGTCTCATGTACATTTTTGGATTATATCTTTACTTCCAGGTGGAAGAAAGTTTAAAAACCCCTTCTTTAAGCCAACAAATGGATCCACAAGAAAGAACTGGAGCAAAAGAAGTGATGTAACATAGCCAAACCTTAGTCCTTGCAGTGAATTAAGGAGTGCTCTTATATGTCCAGATTTTTAGTTTGAACTACTTTATCCAAAAATAAAACCAGCTGAAATTCATTACCAGAAACTGTAAGGTATGGAGATCACATTTATACTCAGGATTTATGAACATGAGCACAATTATTACAAAACAATTCTCTTTTTAAATAAACTTAAGATAATTCTTTTTACTCATTAAAAATTGTTTAATTGGAAAGGGGAGAGAAAGAGAGAGAAAACAAGCACTAACTTTGTGGTTCATTATTTTCCCATAGGTCTCCACCAAGGACTCTGCATAAAATGGAGTTTCTCCATAAAGCATTTCATACATGCAAACGCCTAGGGACCACCAGTCACATTCAGGTCCATACTTCCCTTTTCCATCTTCCATGGCCTGCAGAATTTCTGGAGAGATATAGTCTGGGGTTCCAACTGCCACTGAAGATTGGACCTGTGAGAGTTAGTATTTCCATTATTAACAATAGTTTTCACTATTAGGGTATGGATAAACATACTTTTTGCCTGCTTCAAAAGGGCATGGGGATCTGCAGCGCAGGAATATACGTCAGCTCCTATGATCTAACTGTTATGTCTGCATGAACTTGTAGAGATGTAAGTGAGCTCAACAGGATAAACATCACAATGGTTTTACTGTATCTGTATCACTACAGAATTATTTAGACGTAACAGTTGCAACCAAAAAGCCTATACCGGTATCCTTTAATGTTGCTACAATTGTGATACCTGCCTATGACCTTAGAGACAGTGCTCTGTGAATAGGATCATGTGTCTCTCTATGTAAGTTCAGTTTAGTGTTCAAATTGTAACAGTGAAATCTAACAAAGAAAGGTTTTCTAAACAGTTGTTCATGAAATAAACTAAATGTGTCCCAAGCACTTCAATATTTCAAACGTTCTGAAAAAAAAAGGTAGGCTAATCCAATAATTTAGTTTTGCTCTGAAATGTGATTAATTCCAAATAAGGCAGTTTTGGGGCTTGCAGTTATTATAAAGCAATCATCTCATTGCTAATCACATATATCATATTTACATAAATCTAAGAGCAGGTTTCACCTCAGTTAACCTGGGGAAAAAAGCCTCTTGTCTTAGACTTGAGTACAAGCAGGGGGAAAGGACCTTCACCACCACCTGCCTCTCCTTCCCCGTGCCTTTTCTGTCTCCTGTGCCCCTTCTCCTTTCTCTCTCTTCCACCACTTACCTTCCACTCGAAGCTCTGGCTGGTGCCCCACTCCAGGAAGCATGTGCTGCCTCTGGCCCCAACCCGGTCATGCAACAGCTGTTATTGGCTGCTGCTCTGGCGCTAGCTCTACGGTAGCCAGAAGGGGGCAGAAGGCAGGCAGTAGAGGGAGCCCAAACAGGAAGCAGGAGGGAAGGGAGGTGGTGTGGGGGGCAGGTGGAAGGGGGGCAAGTGACAGGGGGGGCCAGGCAGGGTGTGGAGGTAAGCACTAGGGGTGCAACTGGAGGGGCAGGCAGTGGGGGGGAGGGGTGACAAAGGTCAGGCTACTTGACACCCTCCTATCCTTCCTGGTGCTGTGTGCCCTGCTACCACGGTGGGACGAATTTAAGACGACCCTGCAAAAATTAGATTCTAGACATAGAAAACTGTAACAAATTTATATATTTTCCATGTCTAGAATCTACTTTTTGTGTGTCATCTAAAATTCAAAGTCATCTTGGACTTGGGTAAATACAGTATTAATGCAAATACCTTGTAGAAATTCAAGGCATAATTATTACATACTGGAACTCCCTTTTAATCTCCTGTATCAGAAGTTAAAAAAAAAAGTGCTCCACTGGGGTGATGCAATATCAAGTACTCTTCATCCTGCTTCTGAGTACACTGACATCAATGAGGGCTTTACATGAGCACTTACAATAGTACATGGCTCAAAACTGGATGTCTTGCATCTTTCCAATGGTTATGTATTCAATTTTGATTATGCAAACTGCATTGATTAACCACTTTAATTAAATGCACTAAAATATATTTAACACAAAATAAGTTCAAATAATATTTAATATTTTGTAATTGTATTTTAAAATGACATTTGCCTTCACAGATAGGATTATTGCTTTATGAGCCAAAATTTCAGTACCAAACAGAGGACAGAAGAGAAAGATGATTGAAAGACTATTATAACTGTGCCATTCTTTCTAATTTACCGTTCCATCTTCCATGAGTTTCAGACAAGAACCAAAATCTGCTAGCCGAATATGTCCATTCATATCCATCAAAATGTTATCTGGTTTAATATCCCTGCAAACAAAACACATTTAAGGATCAGCTTGAGGAAAAACATAATGCATTCTCCTGAACAATAATTTAGAAACTTTTTTTTCATTCACTAACAGTGAAGGCAGAGAGCAGTTGCTCCCTATATGATTTTATTTATGAAACATTTGCTATCCAGCCTATACATGCAATGAAAAAATTGTGGTAAGATTTAATAATTTAACTCCCATTAATGACAGTAATAATTACCGTGGGCAAGTCCCACATACCACACAGAGAACTTGTATATAAAGAAAGCAATGGTAGTTTCTGCACAGCCCTATGCATTCCATACCCTATGATATTATTTATAACTTTCCTGAAATAACAGAGAAGTCTAAATCATTTCAAGATGTCTAGAGGAGTATTTTCAATTCACATGTTGGCACTTGGCTAAGAAAAAGCCTCCCTCATAAAACTTTGGAACAAAGTTAATGAAGTCCTGCAATGATCTCTGTACCATTAAGGTTTAGTATCTTTATCCACACATTTCTGTTATGTACTCCCCCTTCAAAGTTTGCATGTTATTGCTTTGATTGCCCATTCAGAGGACATTTGTCCATTTCTTCTGGAACACCTGATAATGTCATTTTTCAGACCTGTTGACAGTTCTTCATGGAAAACCTGCAGCTTTTTTCCCCACCCTGCTCACAAAACATAAGGGGACACCCTTGGAGCATGCAACATGCCTGAGAACACAAATCCATTTTCTGAATCACACTTTTTTTTTAAAGCTACTTAGCTATTTAGAAAACCAAGTGGCCAACCATGTACACATATAGATACAGTTCTCCTGTAAGAACAAAGTGGTTTTAAAACCAAAGTGTTCTCTGAGTACTTCACTTAACATTTTTTAAATGTAAATAATTAACTCAAGAAACCTGATACTTGCCAGCCTAGTGGTTGGCTGCTGCATTTTTTGCTGAAAGCAGCTGGAGTGTGAGAACAAATACAACTCTCTAACCTTATAATCAGAGCTCTGCAGGTAGCACAAGTCATACAGAAATGGCTGGGTTCATCATGGCATATGTCAGAAGTAAATATACCACTGATATACAGAGTTTAACCTGTATATCAAATTTTGGTCCTAGTTTCCCTGGTGTATGTCAACTATAGTGCCACTTTAAACAATTAATTTACCCTTCTGTAACATATAATGCAATTTGCCCTATGAAGCCAAATTCTTTACTGGCCTAAACTGACTCCTTTGAAATTACTGTGATTAGTAGTATGTCAGAAGCACTGATATACAGTATATCAGTGGTATATTTGCTTCTGACATATGCCATGTTTGACCCCAGTACTTTTTTCCTGCCATGGCAGGGGGTCGGACTTGATGATCTGCTCAAGTCCCTTCCGACCCTACCAACTATGAAACTAAGCCTCAGCCTTAAAGATGTAAATCTGATCACTCTTTTTTAAGGCTTTAATGTCTCAGATAACTGACGGTAAGAAATCTGAAATTCAGAACAGGGCCACAGTTTCACAAGTGACTGTAAGGGCACATCTATATGCACTCATTTGAAGGATCAGGATACTGGTTGCTAGGCACATGAACAAACTGCAACTGCTCAGTATCTTTAAACAATTATTACAAACGTTGTTTAAATTTAACTGACCAAAAAATATGACAATCACAGTATTTTCATCTAAGACTTGCCCAAAATTTTCAAAACTTATATGATGAATGGATTTTTGCAACAAATGTTAGCTTTCGAATAAGTAATGAGGTTGATGTGGCAGAGAAATAAGAAAGAAAAAAAGCAACTAAAACATTACTTCATTCTTATAAAGGACTAAACAAATTTTAATCAAATGTTGTCAAACAAACTCTATATTCCTAGCTTGAGGCCATACAGGTTATCTTTCAACTCAGAGCAACATTTTTATAACTGAGCTATAATCTGTGCAATTAAGGTTTTATAATGAAAAATTGAGAGAGCGTTATTTGAATGGCATGATAAAAAGCACTCCAGCATTCAGGTAAGACGTCAATGTACTGCCTTATGTACTACAAAATAATGAAATAGTCTCAGGTAAGTTTCAAGAAGCTATTGTATACAGAAGAGATATATTATGGATAGACTTGATACACATTGTTTATAACAATGAATACAGGATTAATTTATTATTTGTGAATAACTGGTTGCCCTTTAAGGCAAGCTGAAAGCTGCTTGTGGTACATTCTAGCATGGGGTTGCCCTGCATCTATGTTTATAGGTGCTGTGCGATGGGAGCAGATGGACTCCCACTGCCTGGCAAGTTTAAACCTGTGTGCGGAGTAGCCCTACATCAGCACTCTCTGTCCAGTATCTGGAAGGCCACATGCTGTGCAGACCCTGCTGTGCTCTCCAGAGTGCAGGTTTAAACTAACCAGGAAGGGGGAGCCCCTGGCTCACCACTACACACTCAATTTAAATGTGGAACATCTTTGTGGCTGGTTTGCCATTTTATGGTGCCAGAAATTGGTTGAACGTGTGGCATGTTATTGTTAATTGCATGATGAATGTAATATCTGCCAAGGGCTTTAGACATCTACATTTTGTGTAGAAGCCTGTTTAGATCTGACCCTTTATGCCTTTCAAGCTGTTTTCTGTCACTTGAAAATTTAAAAAAGGATACCACAGAGCACAGAGTATAGAGTTAGGGCTACCTTAGAATAAATTAATACTGTTTTGCCTCAGATACCACTGTGCAGTAAGTACAGATAGTAGTTACCATTCTTTTTAAAATGACGATCACTATAGCACTTCATGAAGAGAACACTGAGAAATATTCTCTTCTGACTCGTATCAAATTTAAAATGAATATTTTATGCATTTCATTTGGTTTTATTGTATTTGGCATTTGAATGCAGAAACAACTGATGTACAAACAAAAAAGCTCAAATGTTCATAACTTTTTTTAAGCTACTGGTTTGGAATGTTTCAGTCTAATAAAGAACTCCTACCACACTAGGAAGGCAAATATTGTTACAGAAATTGCATTTTCACATATCAGAATGTAGTACAAAATAACAGAGAATCAAAATGTAAACCTGTGGAAGTAGCTCTGAGAACCCTCTGAATAAAATTCTTTAGTTCCACTTTTGCACAATGTTGCTGACACTGCATGTGCTAAAGAATTACAACTTTCAGCTTTAGAGACTTTTTCATACTGATCTAGCAAAACATTGGTTAAATATATTCTTAAAAAAACACTATCAATGTCTCTGGAAACACCTCTCAGATGTAAAATACTCTGTAAAAATAAATCTAAAATCAAATTACATTTAAAAATCTGGTACTACTTCAAGATAAACAAAAACATAAATTACCTTTGAGGCACGATTTACCCAAAATATCCATCTTTCACTATATACCCAAGAGATTAAGAAGAATAAAGGAGACAGTAAGTACAAAGAATCCACAGGACACACACAAGGAAAACCTTGCTGTGACTGTTCATATGTGTGTACACACAAGCGCGGAGAGGGCACTGAAAATGCCATGTAGGGATAAATACCTCTTGTTATCTCACAGAGTCAGATGTTCACCTCCCATTACAAGGTGTAAAAAAAATATATTTTCTACATTCTGCAAGCTTTTCCTGTCACATCTCTGCTCTGTCAGCCACACACTGAAATGGAAATAGTAGTCTTATACCAGAAACAGCGTGTAGAGGCCAGAAACGGTGGATGAAACCTTTAAGGGGAGCCCTAAGCAGATACATGGAATGGTCATCCCTTCATAAGCCTCTCAGCCTCCTCCTCCTATGCTATACAGCATTTAGCTGTTCCATCATCATTGTTCATTAATTACACAAAGATGGAAGACTGGCACTGTGACAGAGGACTTTAAGGTGGTATGCCCAGATTCATCCCATTTTTCAAATTCCTCCAAGTGATTATTAATTATGTAGATAAAGATATTTTATAAACAATGGAGGCCAGATCCTCACCTTGGGTAAATGGGTATACTTCCTCTGAAGGAAGTAGAGCTCTACTGATATACATAAGTTTCTACTCGTTTGAATAGATAACAAATCAAAATGCACAATTCTTCCCCTTAGTTAAGTGGGAGTTTGTCAAGATCTTCACAATGAAAGCAGTAACCTTTCTTTAAAAACCTTCCCATTCCAACTCTTTTACTCTTTATTTACCCTTCAATTATATATTTTTTAAAAAGGCTGAAAGGCCAGCCACTCAACATTTGGGAAATGCCAGGTTACAGGTTGCCTGAGCAATCTTAGTGTAGCCTCCAGCTGTAATCCCAGCATGTCCTATTTTAGTGTGCTTAACTTTGCAACCTTATTTATGCTGTTCTTTTAAAGGTCAATATGACAGTAATCTCCTAGGCCTTTTTTCAAAAAGAAACTGAAAATCAGCAATTCCATTATGTGGAATCATACTGATACTCTAAAGGATCATCACAGGATTGAAACTTTTAGCAGCAGAGCACAGATTTCTGCCATCTGAGCTAAGGCAGTCTCTGGTAGTAGATTATCATCTTTTCTGTGGACCAGTAATAGACGGGCTGGGAGGAGGAGAAATACTTTGCCATTCCTCTGTGAACAAGTTTACATTCCTTTTTGAATGAGTGACATGTGAAAGCAAAAAGCTCCAAAAGTTTGAAGGGTAGGAACCTCCTTACGTCCAGATTTTTATTTAAACCATTTCTGAAGCTAAAGTATCATGTGAGCTGCTGAATGCACCAACTCCTGTGAATTGCAGTGAGATTTGAGGGCCCTCAGAATCTTGCAAGAGAAGTTTGGTATTGCATAGGATCAAGTCCCTGAGCTAGTAACTCTTCTCAGAACAGACTGTCTCATCAGAAATTAGGTACTTCCTATTTCTGATCAGTCTGAAAGTGCTGTGGAAATAAACGCTTTCATGAGACTTTTGTAACTGTACTTCCAGATAGAAATAGAAAGTGCAAATGCCTGTGAAAAATAAAACTAGCATGACAAATATTAACACAACATTTTAAAAACTTGTAATAGTTTCC